GCGACCTAGGGCGCGCGATCCTTCTTCCACCCGCGACTCGAAACTCCCCTGGACCCCTTCGTTCCCTCGCTCGCTGTTTCCTCTTCCCTTCTCCCCGTTCGGCTGGATGTACCCACCCATGGCCCTCCGTCGTAGGAGTTGCAACTTTAGACCGCTTTGCACACAGATTGCATCAGAGGCATCCGCGGATGCAATCGTTACCCCACTGTCGTGTTTCCACCCCTCCCCCCTCCCCCCTCCCGTCGTCTTTCTCCCTTGGAAGCGGGTAGTGCGCGAGCGCGTGTGCGTGTGTATGGTATACATTAGAGATATAGCTGACGCCGGTTCTGTTGGCGAAACGAAGAATGCATCGCCGGACGGCGACGGGGAAGTTTGAGAGACGATGCTCTTGATTACGATGCTTTATTGGCTTCGGCGTTGTAATCAGCGACGCGGGATTAGATACGGGGTACCGGTAAACGTTTAGTGAAAATGAGTAATTTACGAAGCGTTTAATATGCATAGATAGCTATAAATCAGGTTCTCAATATTCATTTAATCCTAGGAGTGGAAAATTTTGTTAACGAAAACCGATTGTCATTATTCTACATTTACATTTAACAATTATATGTAAAAATAATAGAAAAGAATAAAAAAAAAGGGTAATTTCTAAATTCCTCTTGATAACATATTTGCAAAATTTTAGACAAATTAACATTTAAATAAAACGTTAATAGCTTTTTAAAAATTTCATTATAATTATCTAAGGCTCGAATTATAGCAAGATGGATCAGAATGGATTAAGATGTAACGATAGGATAAGATACAGATGCGTTTACGACGCGTCTGGTTACTGTCTATCCTCGCGAAATAAAGTACTCGGATATAGCGAGTGTAAAATGCTGTATCGGCGAACGAAATCTTGCTAGACTCTTAGTCTGTCGAGGCAAATTTGTCTGAAGATTTACGTGCGCGGTTTTTCGGTGGTATGCATAAAAGCACGCATGACAGGCACGTGTCATTGCAAATACGTGTTCAAAATATAATACTAAACAAGGTAAAAAATAAAAAAAGTATTGAGTATTGAAAAATTATAATAATAAATAATTCTAAATTATCGAGTTTAAAACTATTACATTATAGAAAGAATATTTTAATTAAATATAAGATTTAATTAATTGAATAGGAAGATTTAAAAGTCTTAATTAAATTGCTTAATGAATTGTTGCTTCAAACTGCGGTTTTGTCTGGCACATTTTATAAAACATTTTCTGTTTTTCCAATCGTAATTAAATAATTTTTATGAAAAAAGATTAACACAGCAATGCTGTTACGTAAAAGCAATATCGATCAACATGCGACAGGTGAATAATGTATTATCTTTCGAGCACTCGCTTTAATCCCCGGATTATCCAGCATACCAAGCGGATGCTATTAAAGCTGAAATTAAACCGTATGTACTATGATAGTCTGAGTTTTTTTATTTCGCTAAATCAACATGAGATCAATTTTATTTAGCTAGTGATTGATTCAATGTCAACTAAAGTTAACAATAAACTCGCAAATTTATCTCTTGTAATTGATGAAATTGTATGAAAAGCTATTAAAAGCGTTTCTGGGTGATCACGAAATATCCGAAATGATAATCTATAATATCATAATCGTCATTGGTATTTTCCTATTATGTCATTTTTAATAAATCTTGGAGTGAGAGAAAAACAAAAGCGCATCAAAATGAAGCGATTTCGATAGATTAGGTAATATCGACGATAAAAAGTTATCGGATAAACTTTGCCACTGGTTACGTAAGTCCACATTATCTGCTGATCCTCACACAGATATTCCTCGGTTACACCACAAATACTTCGTCATTTCCGTCGTTAATCCGATGATAAAACGGACAGGTTGAGTCGCGAACTCACCTAATTCCAACGGATTATCGAACGATAGTAACGCGCGTGTATCTTTGAGCATGTCGACACCGCTATTTCGTATCACATCTGACAAGGCGAAACCATATACGTGCATTATGAAAGCACATGTGACATACGCAAACGCAGAAGGATATAATTGGGCAGGATGTCGGTCCCGAAGCACCGAAATTTCATCACGGATACCGCTAGAATTGGTAACGGTACTACTTTCGTCGTCTATGGAAATTAATTCTCAGAGATTGTCTAATCCGACGTTTACAGGAATCTGCGAATACATATGTGTACGCATACATGTGTGTACGTTCCCTTTGAGACTCTCCGTTTTCGAACCGATCTATTTTAACAGTATTAAGGGGAACCGTAGTTGATATATCAATGGAAAGCTACTTCTATATTAATTACTGCTATCTTAATCTAAGATGAATTCTGCTGATTATATAATCAAATAAAATTAAAAAATATACATTATAGCATATTAAAATGTACAATCTTTTTTAGATTACTGAATATTGTTTAATTACTATTATAACAATTGTCTATATATATATATATATAATTAATACTAATTAAATAATATTTAATAAAATTAAAAAGTTCTATATTTTAAAAATGCCATAATGTATATTTTTGGTTTTATTTTATTTATATATTTGTACATTCATGGTGCATTCATTCCTTTTATACTTGTCATATATTTTTATTTAATATATCACTTTTTCCCAGCTAATTTTTCCTTACTTTATGCTTTTATTTCAAATTAATTTAAAAGCGACAAACTATACTGTTGATCCAACAAATATAAAGAGAATTTTGATGTTAGTTTCTCGTTAAATTACTCTCGATAATCTGCTTGCTTATAAAAGGATGAAATCTTGATGTCTCGGATCTCGATCGCTTTTATTATGAAGGTCGAAGAATGATTCTATCGAATCAATTTCTAATCCGAATACGCATCTGTTGCTTGTTATCGCATGGAATTCAACGCATCGATCTGTTCAAATGTCATTTAATTATTAATTGCTGCGTATCCAGTTATTTTTATATTATACAAGATACTTTTATACATTTTTTTCTTTCTCTACGTTATCGCAGATATATCGCATACACACAAGAGTATTATTCAATATTCGGTCAAAAAATTTAATACTTGATGCGTTTTCATAAACATTTATTTAAAAATAATTTGTCATTCAAGCAATACATTAATACGTTTGCTGTATTATTAATTGGCTTAACATTTGAAAATTATCATTATACAGTTTTATTCAACGTATAATTATAAACCTAAAATTTGATTTACATTAAATTTACATTAAAGAAAATATGTATGTCTTAAACAAAATATGTTTAAAGTGCGTTTCGTGTAAATTCATGTGGATATCCGCAAATATTTGTTCCACGGGGATGCTTTGCAACTTTCATGGGACCACGAAAAAATCGATGCGGTGACATAGATATCGCTTTATGCTCCTTCCACATCTAGCTCGGTCATCGGCAGTCGCGAATCTCTGCAGAGAACGTGCCGCAGGTGGACAGGTGTACGTGCATATTACCTTTAGACACACCCCCCGAAGTGATCTTGGTGGGGGGGCAGAAGTGAAGGGTAGAGAGGATAGGCGAGAGTCGAATTCGATGGAGAAAGATTTTAAAAGAAAGAGAACGAGAGGTGGGCACGGGTTGAAACAATGGATCTTTCAAAGCGTGAGAAAGAAATATGGATATACAAAAAATTAAATAGCAGGAAAAAATTTAAAGTGATTTAGAACCGAAAAAATATTCTGAAAAATAAAAATTCAAAATTGTCAAGAAAAATAAAACGAATGACGGATTATTAATAGAGAAAAAAAAATAAAAGGTATAAAATTAATTTAAATAGACAAAGATTTAAGTAGACAAATATTATAAGAAGAATCAAAAATAAAAAAATTTTTATAAATTTTGGGAAAATTTACTATTTTATTTATAGATTTTAGTAGGAGGCAGTTTCATTGATCAAAATATATTCTGATTATGACATTAATGCCAGACGGTATTAAGGTAATACAAAAACAAATGAAAGTGTGATCGAAAAGAAAACGCGAACAAAGGAGGAACGAGGAGGCGGTAAAGCGCGCGGAGGGACGACGCCTTATCCGGAGCGAGGAAAGCTTTACAGCGAAATCGGGGGAGGATAAGAAGGAGCGGGAACGAGACGGCGGGATCTCTCGGGTTGCGGAGGACGACGAAGGTGGGTTCCGAAGGAGTTGGCGAGCGAGAGGGTGAACCAGCAGCCGAGCGAGGACCAGAGGAGGCACTCCGCCGCGCGATATCGGTAGACGCGAGACGACGGTATCGCGGGCGATGGGCGATGGAGGTGGTGGTGATGGTTGCTGGTGGTGGTGGTGGTGGTAGTGGTGGTAGCAGTGGTGGCGGCGGCGATACGATCCGGTGGTGGGGTTGATACTGACGGCGCGCTCGCGGGTAGGGCGTCGTAGGGGCAGCAGATCGAGCGCCGCGACGCCTCGACGCGCACAGTCGCGGCTCGAACGCCGTTCCCAGCGAACGTGTGTTGTCCTCGCGGACCGTGCGCTCGTCCTCGGCGGCGCGAATGACATTCCGTTGGTGCTCGGAGACCTCGCGTGATTTCTAGAGGTACATTCGGGACGCGAGAGAAATGGCACGTGGATGATACGCGAACGCGAGCGTGATTTCGAAATCGCTTCGACGAGAAACTCCAAAGGGATCGATCGAGTTCCAGTTTTCGGAGCACGCAGATGAGCCACGCACATGTTCGGTGCTGATAATTGGTGACGACCCACGCGCGCCGAAACAGTGCCTTTACGGCCTGTTCTCGGGAGATGACCGGCAACGGTGACTGATTCTGTGATCGATGATCGAGAGACTCCGATCGATGTAGTCGTTCGGACTCGTATGTACGTGACGTTCTGAACGGACGAACGTGCCGATTGGTGATCGGGAAACGGGAAGAGACTATATATATA